GCTGATGCAATTCTTCAATTATTTTTATTATTTTTTTAAACCAAAATATTTATCTTTATATTGAACTAATCAATGTCAGCTTTCCACGTACTCGACATCTAATAAACGTCAGTATCAGATGTTGGACAAATTTAATTAATATGGAATTCTACGTCCTCAAAGGGGGCGCTTAGGTGGCAAGCGACTAAATAAACAAGCCAATGGCATTGTTCGTTTCATATGAAACGGGCTCTGTAATTGGCTCGCTTACTTAGATGCTGCCACCTAGAGTAAATAATTTGTCAATGCTAACGAATGCTTTTATCTAAAAATCTGTTGGTTTTTTTTTTCATTAATATTTATAATAATTAACGTTGATAAATCCTGGAATAATTCCAATTATAATCTTTTTGTTTTTAATTTAATCCACAGAAAAATGATATTGTTGGAGTCCAGATATAATTAGTAACAAAGCATTATTACGTTTAAACACAACAGTTTCAAGTGAGATGAATTAATTTCACGTATTAATGGAGCATATACGAGAACAATGAACACGTTTACTCTTTTGATAAATGTATATGATTGCATTTTTTGCATTAATGACTTTCAAATTTAATTATGTTTAATGTTATTAATTACAGTTTATGAGAAGATTTAACTATGTTTTTTTCCCTTTTGTTTTAGGGATTTTTAAGCTTTTTTATGCTACTCGTGATGTACCATCGAGTCGTTGATTGCAACATTAATCATGGTTTGTAAACGTTTATTTTAAAAAATAATTTTATTAAACGTCGCGTTGACGCGTTGCGTGTCGCGTTGACGCTCCGTTGTTAAAAACTGTAATTAGACTTGAAAAACTATTTTGAATGTGTCATTAGTTTAGTTTTTAACACAATTAAGTAGTATATATACAGTTTTTTTCCTAATAATTTTAGTAAACGTCACGCTAGAGCATCTCGCGTTGCTTGTCGCGACGTCGCGTCGCGTCGTAGCGTTAGCGAATCATAAAAGATGAGATTCTTTCCCGAAATTCTCTCATTTTAATTATTAATATTTCAGAAAAAATAGAACGAATGATCGAACGCAACATGATAAAATTAGAATCTGAATATCGTTTTATGATGTGGTTACTGCAGACTTTAGAATGGAATTATGCTGTTAACATGACGGTGGCTAATGGTAAAGAAAAAGATAATTTCGAGACTTTATTCAGCGAGTGGATGAGCAAATGGAAGTCATGGGCAAAAAATCTCCCATATATTCCTACAAATAAAGTTTACAGAAGAATTATTAAAATAATGGCTAATGGGATCGTTTTTTCATCACCAGAAATGGCTAAGTACGTACTAACTTATCATATTGTCAGTGCCGGATTTAAACTTGAGGCCTTCAGATGTAACGTGTAAAGAGGCCTTTTTTTCATCCAACAAATAATAAATTTAAAAGTGTGAGGTCCTAGATCCTCGTGTGTAAAGTCTTAAGATGTATCTTATGTGTAAATCCGGCCTATTTGTTGTAACTCTTTTGTCCATTTTCCCATTGAACCCTTAAAAAAAATACTGATTTTTAGCTTTTCTTCATATAGACGTACTTCAGAATTGCGGAATTCAATGGCTGCCATTTATGCAAGAGGACAAGTGGATTTGAGTCAACTTCGTTTGCAGTTATTGGGAGAAGAAGAAGTAGGATTTGCCATGTCTAAAGTGAAAAATCCTTCAGTTTTAAAGAAGTTATGGCGTGAGTGGAGATATACCGTGGGAAACAGGATAAAACCGCTATTTTTACAATTAGTATCATTGCTTAACACTGCAGCTAGGGAGAATGGTAATTATACTAATTTGCATAAAAGTAACAGCAATGATTTTCCGATAAAATGGATGATTTTAACTATCAAAGATTACCACGATATTGGAGAGATATGGAGATCCGAATTGGGAATAGACGATTTAATTGCGGTTGCCCATCAATTATGGGGTAAAGTATCAGATTTCTACTACAACATACACGCATTTGTGAGAAGACGATTGATGAAAGTGTACGGTAAACAATACTTTAACAACGACGGCATCATACCCGTTCATCTATTAGGTACGACATTATAAAACACAACTTAAAATTCTTGTAGCACTAAAGTTTTCTTTTGTAGGAAGCCTCTGGGGAGATAATTGGGAATCTTTAGGAAATTTCGTCCTTCCATACCCTAACGTGACAGTTCCTGACATCACTGAATCTATGCTTAAACGAAACTTAACAGTTAAAGATATGCTAAAGATTTCAGAACGATTTTATACATCTATGGGTATGTTTCCCATGACTAAATCATTCTGGAAGAATTCAATGTTTGTAAGACCGCAGGATAAAAGAGCTATCGATTGTCACGGTTCTGCTTTTGATTTTTCTATTAACGACGATTTTAGGTATGTAAAACTGTAAAACTATTGTTACTTATTTACATTACAATCGATTTATTAATTTCCTTAATTTAAAACTTAATATATCTCCTTTATGTAAGCTAATTCAGTTGCTAGTATGATCTAGATCAGTGCTTCTGAACCTTCTTCTAGCGTAACCTACTGAAATAGCGTGACATTACCTTGAAGTAAGCTACAGTTTGCCAGTTCTAGAGGGGGAAGTTAGAAATCTAGTAATTAAGAAACACTGATCTATATAAATAAAAGATCTGGATATTTGGAATTCGATTATTAATTTCTTTCCACGCTTCACAGGATTAAGATATGTGCGGAAATAACGGAAAAGGATTTGAGAACTATCATACACGAAATGGGGCACGTGGAATATTTCATGTCCTATCGAATACAACCAATGATTTTTCGATCGGGAGCCAATTCGGCATTTCACGAAGCTATAGGAGAAACTATGGTTTATTCGGCATTTAGCCCTAAGTGCTTAAAGCACTTTGGACTATGGAACGGAGCAACGTTATCCAAAGGTAAAAATTATTACTAGAAAAATATTTATATTAATTATAATAATTAAGTAGCAATTTCACGATTTCTATCGACCGTACAGAACAAGAATTGAACTTATTAATGCAACGAGCATTGGCCAAAGTAGTTTTCCTCCCCTGGTCGCTTCTCATAGATCTTTGGAGATACGAAGTATTCGAAGGAAGATTATCTTCCAGCGATATGACTAAAAGATGGTGGGAACTAAGGTAATATATTTTACAATAATAAGGTTTTATGCTTCATATACCCAGAAAGATATAAAGTAAGATATAAACAACATTAACCTATTTACAGGAAGTATTATCAAGGTGTAGGCCCTCCTTCAGAAGAAGATATAAAGGAATTCGATCCTGGAACTAAATACCACGTGGCTAACAATGTACCTTACATCAGGTAATTCGGTTAATGCACAGAATTCTATCAATTATTTTAAATTTTATCGAAGATGCCACAGAAAATTTGAAAGCTTTTTGCAATCAATCAAAAGCAAAACTTAAATATATCTCGATATATCAATTATTGATTTTTGCATCTAAAAAAAAGTAAGACTCCAACTTCCTGTTGGAAAGTTGGAGATTCTAATTAATTAATTAATTAATTAATTAATAATTATAAATTAGTAAAGGTTAATTTACTAGATTATAATTAGTAAAGTTAGCAGTGGCGGATTAATACCTTCGAACCCACTAGGCACAGAAGATTAGAGACCTCTCTACATAATTTTACGAAAATAAACTAATAACATTTATAATTGATATTCAATTGCCTTGTTTTCATTTTGATTTGGGGCCGGGGGCCCTAGGCATGTGCCTGACGTGCGTAATGGGCAATCCGCCATTGAAAGTTGGCCTTTGCAGATTCAGATTTTGGAGTGCCAGCGATATCATTTGGCAGAAAGATCTTTAAAATGGAGATTAAATTTCATGAATGATATAAATTAGAGTTTCGTTTAATAAGTGTTTAAAATATATAGGCCTATATATATATATTATGGAATGGAGGATGGATTGGAAGTTAGATTTGTGACTAGTTCGGGTCTCTCTACGTATTCAATAGAAAGGCCTATCTAAATCTTTGTATTCAACTTTATTTGCCAATTTTTTTTTTATGTTTAAAGTACTTTTTCAAAAAAAAACTATTCTATTTATAAATGTTTTAATCATTGCACCTATTAATTAATAAATGAAATCATTTATTTTAAAGGAAAATGATTTAAGAAATGAGAAATGTTCTCTCATAAAGTATTTAAAGCAATTCCGCTGATTTGTTCATTCATGAAATATTCACTTGTCTTTTATGAATTATTCATTTATCGATACAAAAAAAAAAATATTTGAAAAGAATAAAATTGATTTGTACTTTGCTCTTGACTTAAGAAGTTTTAAAACCAATTCAATAAAAGCAAGTTTGAATTATTAATTAGCCAAAAAAATCTATTTTTTTTAAATTTTTTATTATTTTTCTTTTTAGTTTATTTGTTTTGGAAGATTTAAAAATATTTATTTTTAACTTGACAAACTCATTGACCGATTTCGTGACATTCATTTTGTTTATATTTACTGATTTTTATTTTTTTTATTTTTTCAATTATGCTCCCTAGATGGCAGCACGTTATTTTAATTAACAGTATGAGAACAAATATATACTTATTCAAAAGCAATTATTTTATTATTTTAATATTGTTATTCGAGTGGTATTTACAATGAGAAAGCTAAGCTTATAATTTTTTAAAATAACTTTTATATTTTCTTAATAAATCTATGGTTTAAGTTTAGAATTCTAGTGCCATCTTGTGACAATTTTTAAAACTAATTATTTAATAAAAAAAATTTTTTTTTGTATTATATCATTTCCGAAACTTAAAAAAGAGTTAATATGCCAGATTGGTGTTTTATCTGGCATATTATATGACAATTCTTTATTGGTATTGACCAATAAGGAATTGCCATATAATCCAACCGAGTTGGTTAACGTTTAATGCGATACAATTATCTATTCTTATTATTTATTCTGTGTTATTTTAGATACTATTTCAGTAGATTTCTTGAACATCAGATTCACGAATCTCTTTGCCGCATGTCAGAATCCACAGACGAATCCCTACACCATTGTTGTCTGTATGGCGCAACACAAGCAGGTTCGATTTTGAGGTAAAATATACTTTTAAATTAACGCAATCATAAAGAAATAGACTGTAATTTTGATATTTTTTACTTTTTATTCTTAATAGAAAAGCTCTGTCTTTAGGTTCCTCCAGATCTTGGCAACACGTATTGAAATTGATAACTGGTAAAGACGAAATGAGCGCCGATTCTCTTCTAAAATATTATCGTCCCTTATACGAATGGCTAAAGAATGAAAATGGTAATGAAGGAGATTTAGGATGGAAATAAACATAAATTATCTCGTTATTTTAATACGTAGTAAACCATTTTATGTAACCTATTTAATGAATAGTTAATAAAACAATAAAAGCATCAAAATGTAACAATTTTATCATTCAAAACATACGAAAATATCCATTTGAAAAGAGATTGGGGATTCTCCTTTCTAATCGTGTCCGTCATGGGGTCCTCAGAGTGGAAAGAATTTAAACAAAAATTGGGTGAAAGCGAAACGTTAAAACGATAGTTTTGGAAAGGAACCTGGCCTATTTATTGATTATATTTAAAAATACTTGCTTAAAATTAAACTAGTGCTATAAAAAAATCTAGCAACGTGTTGTGTAAATTTAACAGGCAAAAAAGCTTAAAATTGTGGTGGTTCCATCTGTTATGATATTCTGGTAAAAATACTTTTTATATTATTATTATTAATTATTATAAAATAGCAAAAAGCTTAATTTTGAGGGTAGAGATGAGTTTCGTAAATGTAAATAACGTGTAAAATCACCATTAAATCCGACCCTACTCGAGATACGACACACGACCCACCTTCATCTCCCCACCCCTTCGACTTTTAACCACCAAAATTTATTACCATCAATCCCCCTAATAAACAAACCTATCTGCAAAATTTCAGAAGTTTTCGACAAAAAGCACAGGAGTTATTATGCTTCAAAGGTGGTAAAAAAAATCGTTTTTCCCATACACGTTAATTAACATCCATACATACAGAAAAATCTTCCAGGGTTATGGTTTGACTGATGGCCATACTTTTTCTAATAGCAAGGATAGTAAACTTTTACGGCTCAATTATTTATTTTTATAATTGATTTATTATATAAATAGAAATATACAACTGTGTCAATACAAGTACTGTACGTAAGTTACGTGAGTAACTATCAACATAATTTATTTTACATTAATTATTTGTCCAGATGCTTAATTAGTTATTTTCGTAACCGCTATCAAAAACAAATACATGAAGAAAATCCAACTCTTTCACTGCAATGCGAAATGATATTTCGTGTTTTCATCTGTAATTTAAAACTATATCAACGAAAACTATAATCTTTAAATTGTAAAGCCAACAAAATCTGTAATTATTGATATGTTTTCTTTCTAAATTCTTCTAAATAATTTAGCAGAATTTAGCAGCTCGCATCCAAACCATTCCACATCACAGATGCACTATAATCTATATCTTCCTTCTCTACACAGCCAAAAATTTGGCAAAAACATTTATCTGTACTTTTTTTAAAAAAGACATTTATTAAATAATATTTAAAGAATAATTTACTCGTTATTATCATTTACAATTTTTTTAATATATAAAACTGTTTCTAACTTCGAAATTAAGCTTTTCCCATTTTAAAACATAAACAAGTTTTTAAACATAATCTCGTAATAGATGGCGCCACACACGATTTAACCATTTGCCGGAAAAGTTACTGATTCCGATTAACTATATATGTATAGTACTTCCGGTTTGGACTGGAAATTACGTTATTTCAATTCAAAAGATTCCTCCCGAACGGTTTATTTCACGTGTTTAAACACCTATTCGAATGTTTAAACTTTAAAAACTTGGCCTCACGTCAAAAATCAAGTTACCGATATATTAATTGTCTTAATTCTGTATTTTATCGATATAAATACAAATGATTAAAAACACTAAAGTAATAATTAATAAACAAATTCAAGATTTTAAAAATACTTTATTAGTTCAATTTACGACCATTCTTGTTGATATTGAATGCCAGAGGAAAGTGAAAGTTGACCTGGAATGTCACAAGTAAACTATTGTTATAAAATTTTATTATTAGTCCAAATTCTAAAAATATTAAACCTACTTACGAAGATATTGGATTCTAGCAGACATATCTACATACTATTTCACACTTTATCATTATGCAAATTTTGTCACAAATCCATGAACACGGAAGTGCATCTACTTCCAAGAATATTTCAAACAACACAATCAAAAGTAAAATAAATGCAGTCAATCGTGCCATTTTTGTCTGTAATTAAATAACAAAACGTTGAAATCTAATATGTATTATGGCACCAAAACAGTCATACATATTAGACTTATTATACTGGCACCAGGTGACATATAGATCTAAAGGAAATATGCCTACCAGTGGCCAAGTGGATAACACCACTAGACATTAAGTCGTGGGTTCTCGCCTGGCCAACGGGCTGTCCACACGGAGTTTTCCGGGCTTTCTTTACGTTTGTAATTATCTAAATAGAGGTCAGTTTTCCATAAAAGACCTCCTGGGAAGCACTCCTCCTTCGGCAGATCGCCCATGCGTCGTGTTGCCGCAAAAAATAAATCAATCTAAAGGAAATAAGTTATTTATCTTTTCCTTTCCTGTGTGTATACTTTATTATGGTATACATTTTGTAACAAATCCCTCATTAGCTATTACATGTCCCAATTAAAATTTGGCACAGTAGTTTGTATATAAAGGCGTTGATACTACTAAATTTTAGTGTTTAATTTATTAATTTAATTTAATTAATTTATAATTTATATATATGAAAAGTTTTTTTAATTAAATCTATAACAGATTTTTTTATTCTTATTTCCTGATATTCAAATAATCTTTAAACGTTTTTTATTTGAACTGTATTTTTCTAAATCTAACGGTTTTGTGTTATTGACGAATTTCTCTGATTATTTTTGATTGATCGGTGTGCTCCTTTAATCTCATTTTTAATTTTTCTTACATACATAAATGCACTCGGGTAATTGGACTTAATCTTATACACCATAATCTTATACACTTTCTTCCCAGATGTATTCATTATGTAAAAAGATCAAAAACTGTGTGAAGTTCAAACATGGAAAGATCAATAAATGTAATGGAACTTTACATGTTCCTTAGGAAAGGAGAAGAGAAATCTTTTCTTTTAATTCTTACGCCCGGTGCCGGTCTTATGAGCCTAATATATGAGACTGTTTTAATGCCATAATATATATAACATTGAATAATTAGACATGAAGCAAATTAGAAAAAAATTCAGATCTAAATAGCAAATACGATCATTTTATATTAATTAATTTACCTTAAATTTCATATACTTACAAGTCAGTGGCGTGCCGTGATATTTGATGATAGGGAAGCTGTGTTTCTGTAAGAAGCCGACTTCCACGGACAATCAGTTAATTCTCTAAATGTATATTTAATAGATTATTTATCTGACGTAGGGGAGATCCTTCTACTTTGGGACACTTTTCTTTAAACCTTCATAATTTAAGTTCAAATTGATCTTTAGCTATGACTATTGACTATTTCTATTAGTAATTGATAACATCACTATATATGGTGCAACACTTGACCCTATGCTATTTTATTTATGAGAAAATGTCAAATAATTACTTGCAGATATTTGTCCTAAGGTACAATCATGGATTGTACCTCGGGACACCAATGTTTGTACTTTGGGACACGAACAATCCTAACGTTTTTGTAAATCTTAACTTCCGCCAGAAGAAAAGAAAAGTAGTTTATCAAAGTCTTTTCCTTTATAACAATATTAGCTTTATCATTTAACAAAAATGTTTCATATGCTGGAAATGCAGGTAAGTATAAAGCTTAAATGTTCTGTAGAAGGCATTTAAATGATAGAAAATCAAAGATAATCTCATTTTTGTATTAAGGAAAACAATAGTCATTACAAATATAGGTCACAAACATTACTACTTACTAATTTTTTTAGAATTAATACCGCATTTCTGACAGTAATTTTCAAAAAAGGTGCAATCTTTCACTGTTTTAAGGTATAATTTCCTCTTGTTTATAACAAAGTATGTATATAATTTTTGAATTACAGAAATCCAATGTTATTTATTAAAATAAGTGGTTACGAATGTAATTATCAACTAACTGTACCTGAATTAAATTACTCACCTCAAAATATTTCGATTAAAACCAAGATCCAAATGGATTGCAAAAAAACAAACACCTATAAAAATATAACATGTCACAGCGCTATGACGTGTCAGCGGTAAAACGAGTCAAAATGGCCGACTTTACGTCATGCATTCTAAATGTTGTAATGAAATAGCTACTAGATATCGCTACTTACTACTACTCAATATATTATTTTTCAAATGACGAGCTTGTCCCGAAGTACAAGGTGTCTACAAGGATCTCTCCTACTTAATAAATAAACAAGTTCAATATAATTACCTCTGTTATTAGATTCAATAGATTCCTTATGCCCTATAAATTACAAGTCCTTTATCTTGAATTTAATTATAAAATGTAATATATAATAAACTTCCCGAAGCCTATTCCATCTCCTTAATTAATATCTAATCATTAATAATTGCAAATTTATAGTCCGATTAATTAAGGCGATCTTTACTTGAGTATAAAATATAATGTTGACAGTAACGTTCATATCTCTATTCTTTGCCATGCGTAGGGCCTAATTTGGCACAAGGCAGACAAGGCACTTGCCTGGGGCCCGTAATAGGTTCTAAACGTGCCATTGTTTTATTAGTATTGCGAATTACTATATTATTAGCGTTATATTCAAGAGTTAATAAATAAGAATAAGATTCCTACTGCTTTGACATCTAACAACATCACTGAGAATTAGATAATATTTGTATATGCGCATTAGATATGTTCGGTGAAGTTCAGAATAAAGCAGTGTTTGTTGAGAAAAATATAATGTTTATTGCTGCATAATTTTATTGTAGCCCTCCAAAATACAATGCAAGTAAGATATTCAAATGTAAAAATAAAAATACTTTAATTTTAAATATTACAATTTTATTTATATTTGTAGTAATACAAAATTTGTAAAGGGGCCCGTAAATATTATTTTGCCTAGGGCCCGCGAAGGTCTAAATGAGTTACTGGCCACGCGCTTGTATTTACTGCCATACGACGTGTACTTAACTCAAATTGTACAGATGTTTGCAGATGGTTAGCAGGTTGCGTTTTGCTTTGTTATTGAAGTCAATTATTTTCATAGCTATGCAGTCTATTCCAGGGGTTGTACTTCTCCCCTTTTAAATGCAGAATTTTGCTCGTGCTCGGTATATGGTCTGTTGTAATCTATGTTAGTGGCGGTGTGAATGTGTATAGGTTGTATCTGTATTTGGGATTGAAATGGTGATTAAATATTTCGGCTTGACGGTTTGGGTCGGTGATAGTCTGCTCGTCTTGCTTGATGATGAGGTGGTCGTTCGGGGATTATTTTTAGTGTAACCAGTAGGTGTATGATTTACCACAGATTTGTTCTTGTAGTTAGGAGATGTAGTTAGTTGTTTCCAAAAGGCACGCTTTTGTTCAATTATGGTTACAGTGACCATATTTTTTGGGGGAAAATAAAGGACATATCGAAGAAAATAAAAAAATACCTTATAAAATTCATAAGTTTATAACATTTATTACGAAAATAGTAGCATACAACAATGCATACATTAAAATTTTAAACAATCTGAATTATTACACATACACACATTGTAAAAATTTAAATAACATTAATTTTGATACTTTTCAGTAGAATTAATTTTTTATAGCGCCGTTTCACGCTTTAAAGTCATAAAATTCGATACAGTTCATTTGAAAGTTGTATTTGACAGAAATACATGCTTCTAATGTGCTTACTTTTAAATGGGTTTTTTTCATTCGTCCGCATATTATTCAGCAATGAAAATATTAGTTCAACGGGGGCATTAGATCCAGGAAGACAAAAAAAAT